CTGAGATGGCCTATCGTGCAATGGGCTCAAACGCTAGGTGAGTTTCGATGCAGTGTTCAGTTTTTCAATCAAAACATCTCAGCGCAGAATTCGTGGAAACCCAACGAAATTTTCGGAGGGTTTGAAAGGACATAATAATGATCAGATCCAAATTGAGCGGACTTTTCACTGAAATTTTGCTCGAATTTGATCAATCTTCTCTATCAACCTAGCCAAAACCTCAAATTTGAACAACCGGATAGATCAGCCAGGTATGAGCAGATCATAACATCATAATGTAGAGATAGATGATTCTTGTTCTCAGAATCCAGGAACAGTTCTAGATCCATCAACCAACTATTATCTCTCCTCAAGAACCAACTCCAACAAACATCTTAATTGCATCATTCCATTTTTAGATCGTTCTGTTCAGCAACTCTAAACATTATGTTGTTCGGTGTATCGGTGGTATTCTTGCTACTTTCATCACATATCATCAACGATTTCATCACATCCATAATGGGCCATTCGATTGGACTTTGTTACATTGTCCTCATTGTTGCCACACTCTTATGGCCAGTCACTCTGCTCAAATCACCTCAAGATTTCTGGTTTGTTATACACTTGCATTCATTTGGATCTGCCCCTGTTAAGGTGGCAAGGTCGGGCAAGAGCCGAGATAAAGGAAATCACCTAATCCAGACAGTTCGCTAGCCGTTGCGNAAAAAAAAACCGTTGTTCTGAACCACATATGCAAGGTTGAACTAATAATTGTCAAATGCGATACTCTTGTTGAAGAAAACTACACATGATTTTGGGATAATTCAGATATGGATCATTCAAGAAAATCAAAGAATATCATGACAAAAGTTTGAATTTGATGGTGCAAATCCGATAATGAAGAAATGTTTTATTTGTTGGAATTCCAGGTGGGCCATCGTTGTCGCCATGCTCACAACGGTGTTTTCGGTGATTTTGATTGTTGTCGGAACCGCCCGAGACTATGGCAGTTGTGAACCGGTCGCCTATAGGCCACCGTTTCAGTGGAGTAGTTTGATGTTGTCGCTTGGAACGTTCATGTTTGCGTTCGGTGGTCATGCAGTATTTCCGACCATTCAACACGATATGAAAAAACCAAAGCATTTCACACGCTCAGCTATTGTTGCGTTCAGTAGTTCGTTTATTTACAATCAGTTTCAGTTATGATCATTCGGTACGTTTAAGCACATCGATGGAAAATTCAATCTGTGAATATTACACATTGCATAGATATGTCACCATCAAATTTTTGAGTTTGTCTGGAAACATGAGTACGGACCTTAAACCTGTGGTACTCTCGACAATTGTTAATGAATCAATCCATGATATGAATCTATTATTTTCACTGTCTCATTTGCAATAGAATGTAAAAAACTTAATTTTCAGTAGTCACAGCTATGTACGCACCGATCTCATTTTTGG